ACCTGTGGAGCCCCATGAAAGTTTTGTCCCTGATTGCAACCTGCCAACCTGCCAGTCCTCTTGGAATGAGATATTTCTAAAGCTTGAGCTCACCTCACTCAGCTTTTCTGTAGGCATTTTTGGGCCTCATCATCCTCACCAGTTGCCACTATTTTATCAGTTTTTGCCTCCATGCCTCCAAATGTGGGATCACCTTTTATGTGATTCACTTGAATCATATTGGTTTATAAGGGTAGTGCCTTTATTATTTTAATAGATGAAGATACTAGAGCTAACTTCAATAGGTATAAATATATATATTTCTGTAAATCACCACCTTAATTTATAAAGTCCCATGTTGGAAATAAAGAGAATTGTGTTGTTTCCTGGCCTTTTTAAGTCTTGAGGAATATTTAAATAGGCCCTTTCTCCATTTAATACATGCAATAAAAACTGGCCTAGAATAGTCTTTGAAATAAGTAAGAAGTCAGTGTGAACATCATTCCAAACAGCCTCAACAAGCTGATGCTGTAAGGCCAGGAGAATTGCTGAGGGAAAATCCAAGAGCTAAGGTACTGTGAATAGAGATGGAGCTTCCTTGTTGACTGAGGCCCTAGAACGAAGCCCATGAGTCCATCTCTGCACCTGTGGAAATGGGGAAATTGGCTCATAGACTTGGGGGGTGTGCACACATATGAGGCAGCTATGATTGTCTCATTTCTGTAGTGTCATGACTGTCATGTAGAATGGTACCTAATAAAGGGAGGGGGATTATTTTTTGCTATGCTATAGGGTAGGCACTGAGTAAAAGTGATAAGATTTTTTTTTCACTGGTGGACATTTTAATGAACTTCCTTCCGTGTGGCTTCAAGCTACCAGGACACAGGCCCCCCAACACCCTCATCTTCTCAGCTCTTTGCTGAAGAACTTTGCCTTCACGGTGACAGGCTGCTTTGGGAACTTTCTCTTCCCCAGGACTTTGTAGTAGCCCCATCACACCACATCAGTCAGGGATAGGAGCAGCTCCAGTCTTGTTTTTGGCAGCATTTACCCGGGTCTGATCGCTGACCAAGGTCCACAGTTTATCAAGGTTGACAGTTGGGCAGAAGCTCTGGTTCCTCTGTAAGTGGTCGTCCTCATAGCCACTTTCCCACAGTAACCTGGGCGGTAGTTGTCAGAGTTGATCCCGTGATGATGCAAGCCACCAGCATTCCCTCGGTCTCCCAGGTGCGTCCTGTGCTTGCCCATGTGGCCGTGGCTGTGGCTCACGTGGCCCAGAAGTTTCTGGGTCTTCCTCAGGCTGGATGGCATGTAGGTGGCTGAGATGCAGGAGCAAAAGTGATTTTTTCCTGTCCCTTTTTCTAGATTGAGGAAAGCTCATTTTGAAATTATTGGTACCACTGATGATAATGAAGAACTCATTCAATTCTGTTGCCAGTGAACTCATCAAGGGCAGACAACCAGGAGCTCTGTGGAATCTGAGGGGCTGAGCTGGAGGGCCTAGACTTGGGGCCTAAACTTTAGCGTCCTAGACTTTGCCAGGCACTTATTTTTTCCTTCCACCTCTCCCCTCATGCCCACGCTCCCAGAATGGCACTTGGCACCCTGGATAAACACTGTCAGATATACTGACATCTAATGTGAAATGGCCCCACCTCACTGCCCTCCCCCATCCTGTAACTCTAAGCTCTTTGGAGGCAGGGTATGGTCTACTAATCTTTATGCAGACCCCACCCAGCTCGGGGCCTGATCGGTTCCAGTTCATTCAGTATAGGTTTGCTAAATGAATAAACATTTTTAGTCTTTTTTTAAGTGTGTAGTTTCCTTGGTGCCCCTCCCCCAACACAGCATTCTCTTGGTTGGCTGCCTGATGTCTGCTTGTGGAATGGAGAGACTGCAGCAGCTTTGTCCCATCTGCCTCTTGAGCCACCCACTGTCCGGCAGCCTTCAGGAGCTCTGCTGAGCAGGTGTGGCCCCAGTGTCACCCTTTCTGTCCTTGTCACCAGAAGTTTGCTTGCAGTTTCTACTCTGGTCCTTCACAGCCTCATTTCTCATAATCTTGTTTGAACAAAAGAATTTGAAAAGGGTAAGAATGTGGAGGTTGGAGGAAGTGGAAAGAATGGTGGGTGTGAATAGTATGTTGATATGACTAAGGTGAGGCTCTTCTGAGGGTTCTAACTGGAAGGGAATTTTCTCCAGTTTTCTGGGCTTTACCGCATTACCCATGGTCTCTCACCTTTATAACTTGCTGTCTACATTAGCCAGAAGCCTCCCAGTGGCTGTATGTTGGTGTTATTTAAAATATTCCGAGACCGGTGGTTCACAAAGGAAGGTCCTCAATCCGATGGTTTTGTTTTGTTTTCTTAATGGGAAATTCTTTTCATGTTATAGTTACCCCCCACTTCCTCTTTGATCTCTTCATGCAAGATAAACGTGTCTGCTGTTTTACCCCGTTTAGCAGGTGCAGGGGGAATTAAAGCAGTGTCTGAATCCATAAAAGGAATAGATTGCATACAGGATCAAGGCCACAGTAGCAAATGACAGGTGATCTTAAAATATTGGGGTAATTTATTTTTTAATGTTACAGAAGCTCAGTAGAAGTAGGGATGGGTCACTGCTCAGCGTCTGGCAGCACATTAATCAGGAGAAATTCATTAGGCCTTAATGTGGGTCTAATGAGAAATTCCTATTATCATGTTTGCTTATGAGCTTTGTTGGTTAATTGCCAAATGGAGCCACCAGCGCCCCAACATGTGATTATAAAATGGTTTTTCAAAATCCTTTCTTAGAGTGTAATATTTTATTAATGAATCTTAAGAAACTGAAGGTTATCCATTTTGGACATGTGTAACAACCCAATGTAATTACGAGCCTTTTTAGAAGGAACCATTCAACAGTATATGATCAAAATAGCCCTTATAACTGTTCTCTGTGTATGTGTCTTTTGTCTTAGTTTTCTGTGTTCCTGGGAATCATTTTCTTCCTGGAGCTCACTGCCGGCGTTCTAGCATTTGTTTTCAAAGACTGGATCAAAGACCAGCTGTATTTCTTTATAAACAACAACATCAGAGCGTACAGGGATGACATTGATTTGCAGAACCTCATAGACTTCACCCAGGAATATGTAAGTTTAAATTTGGTTTATTTTTAAGTTGAAAGCCTTCTGGGAAGGATGACCCCAAAGAGCATCCTCTTGGCTTCTGCATCTGCCCGCTGGAACCCACCTCTGACTTGTCTTCATGGTTTTTGGTTTGTTTGCTTGTCTATTTATTAGTTTCTGACTTGTTCTATGACTTACATGATTTGTGCCCTAAATGGAAATATCCTATTTTCACATATCTTAATTTTTACTGAGAAGGAACAAAGAAGAAAACTCTTGAGCAAGAAGGTTCTAAAGTTGCCCTTTGCTGTCGACATTTAAAGAATATTGTTTTGCTATTGGTTTAACATTAAATTTGGTATTAAATATGGATTCTTTCTTGTTTTCCTTGCCCATTTTTGGTCAGTCTCCACACTTCACAGCTTAGAATAATATACTCATCAATACTTGTTCACAAGTTCCTGACATATACCCATCCAGTATTATAGCACATGTGGTTTAAACCAAAAGTTGAGAAAGTTCTAAGCCCTGGTGGCCTCTAATAAATGAAGAATCTGTATAGTGGTGGCCCCTGCAATGCGGATGATGTAGCACAATCCCTGTTCGACGCAAAATGCAAAATGGTATAAACGGGCTCAGAAGATACAGATCTGGTGCTCAGATCTGATTAGCTAAGTGACCTTGGGCTAATAGGACCTTGACCTCTTTCCCCAGCAGTTAAATGGAAATAATAAAAGCTACAGTTTAACTCATGGACATATTATGACACTCTAATAAGATGCGCATGGTTTTATAATAGGCTCAAGGTGTTATTGTCCTACAAACTGATAGGTCTTTATTTGCATACACTGAAAAACTGGATAAACAGAGCAGGCCTGGACGGTGGTGTCCATGGAATTAATGTATAGGGCAGGATGAGCTGGGGTCCCCTTGGATAAAGGGAGAAGGCTATGTCAGCACTCTTCCTGGAGGACACCCCCCCGCCCCCCCACGCACATTAGGTGCTCAGAACAGAGCCGGGAGCCGAGTTGTGTTGGTTTTGTTCCTTGGCAGCAAGGACTGCCCTGGAGTGAGCTGTGCTCAGGTGTGAAATTAAGCCCTGTTTCATCCCCTCAGCAGACTTCACTGTTCTGTTAGGTCATAATGGATGCAAGGTCACGCCTTGCCGAGTATTAGTGCTGCCTAGTTTACATGACAAATCTGATGGCGCTCTGCAGGCAGACTTCCCGAAGCACTGCTCGAGCCCGCAGAGGACCAGATGGGCCAGACGAACATGCGTGTGCACGTTCTCTTGAAATGCTGCCTGCTTTGTGTGGAAATGCTGTCGTTTCATGTGATTTTTCTCTCTCGTGGAGTTTAATGTCTCTAAGTAGCTGTTGGTCCTGGAAGCCTTAAAATGGTCAAGGCTTGTTGTTTATTTAACTGGGAGAAGTGGAGCTAGTCCAGCCCAGGGGAGTGACATGGGACTAACAGCCTCTGAGTCAGGCCCCGCTTATGACTCACAGAATTGAACAGCTTGTTTTATTATGTTTTAATTAGATGATTGGATTTTTCAAGTTGAAAATGTAAATACCTGCCCTTGTTTAAAACAAATTCAGAGTAATAACAGATATAATGAAGAGGAAGCCTCTAAAACTTTGGGGGGTAGTGGATGTGTTCATGATTTTGATTGTGGTAATGGTTTCACAGTGTACACGTATGTCAAAAATTATAAAATTGTACACTTTAAATATATGCAGTTTACTGTATGTCAGTGATAACCTCAATAAAACGGATTTTGAAAAACCATTAAGGTAGAGAGCTCAAAACTATAAAAAAGGAAGTCCCTAGCTATCCCATCCACAACTCCATTTGCCTCCTTCAGACACTACTGGTTAGTGTCTTATCCTTCTAGAATGTTCCCACATGTACTCCAGCCAAACTGATGATGTTCAGACCGAGCCCTGCCGTAAACTCCTGGCCTGCCCTTGCCCCACCTAACACCATAGGTCTCATTCATCTTTTAAATCACAAGCCATCCTTACAAACCTTCAGCCTTAATTATTTTGGAAGCATTTACAGGGGCTGTTTAGGTTCAGTTTTGTTTAAAAGTAGTTTCTGAGGCGGAAGAGAAGGTTAGAGTTGGCAAAGCTGGTTGTGGGGCATTTGGGCGGGTGTGGGTACAGGCGCCCGGTGGCCTCCAAGTCCAGATGTTCTAATTCTCTCCTGTTTGCTCTAGTGGCAGTGCTGTGGGGCTTTTGGAGCTGATGATTGGAACCTAAATATTTACTTCAATTGCACAGATTCCAATGCAAGTCGGGAGAGATGCGGTGTGCCTTTCTCCTGCTGCACTAAAGATCCCGCAGTAAGTGAATGCCCGCAAACTGTGGGCCTGCTCGCGCGTCACATGGGACGGCGTGTGGGGCAGGCAGAGTGATTTTTTTCTTGGAACCTCTTACCTGCATAGTCCTAACTGTGGCTCCTGCAGGGGTTCTAGTGCTTGGTTCTTCCCAGTAGGAGTAATAATCGCTGGCGTTGCTTTAGCAGTACACACTGGTTCCTATTCTGAGCCTTGGCACATTTAAGTTTGGAACATTCCTGCTGGCAAATAAAAACATTATCTTCCCTTTTTAGGGGAAATCAAGGCCCATGGAGTTTAAGTACTATCCCAAGCTCACGTTGCTAGCGTTGGCGCTGAGCTTCAGACCCAGGCAGCCGGTGGTTCCTCTTTTATGAGGAAGACAGGCTTACCTGAGGGTTGGTTCTCTGTGTTGGTTTGGGGTTTGTAACCCTTTCCTTCCTGACTTAGTTCTGGGGGACACATTGGAATAGAAGAGTTTGAGACGAGATAGGGCTACAGTGCTTTGTGGGAAGACTGCAGCTGCCCAGCCTCTCAGTTGTAATGACTAGTTAATTGCAGTTTATTTTATATACATGGTTTATGGACTTGAGTATATTATTTTGGATCCAAGTATGTGCCTCCTATATAGAATGACTTAAAATCCAACTCCTTATTGTTAGTTAAAAGCCAGAATTGAGTGTTAGAATGACAAATATCAGTTGTCCTACATTGTCCCTTCCGGACTTTTTAGCCTCTCATTGGCCTGTAGTCCCCAAGTATCCACCCTCAGAGCTGCCCTTCCCCCATCAAGCAGATCCGAGAGGGCGCTGATGAGTTCAGTGGCCATTTACCCCGAAAGTAGAGAGTGTGAGACTCTTAAAAGGGCTGTGGTCTTGGGGTGGAGAAGCAGAAGTTCTCTTCAGGCTGCTCATCAGGGAGTCAGCCTGGGCTGTGACTCTTGGTCTGAGGAGAGAGAATCAGTAAGCACTGGGCTCCCTGCTCTGGGATCTCCCAGGACAGCTAACCCTTCCCGCTGGTTTGTTTCCCCCTTTCCTCTGAGGAGGCCAAAGGCAAGAGTGCCCAGCACAGAGCCCAGGGCGCCCACTCGGGCAGCCTCCACTGGCAGGCAGCCACACACCGTGCTCCTCCCCAGTTCCCGCCCCGCCGGGGCCTTCCATCAGACCAACTCCGAAGGCTCTCAGAAGGCACCGCGCCTCCCCTTTCAACTACAGATCCTCTGAGTAGAGAGATCTCATTCCATAAATGCTAGGCTAATAAATCCCACCCATACCCTGCAGAGGGAGAAAAAATAAACAAACCTGAAAGAGGGGAACCACATTTCTGATCACACATGTCAGATGTTGGAACATCTGTCCATGTGATATGTGATTAGGGCGTTGTTTGGTTTTTAAGGAAGTCATGTATTTCCACTGAAAAACCACTTAAATAATACAGAAATATATAGATTAAAAAGTAGAAACCAAAAAAAGAAGATAGTCATTGTGCCCTTTAACCGTGGTTTTTACCTGTCTCCATCTCCCTGAACCCCATAAGCTTATTGAAACCGTCAGCTCTGAGTCTCGTACCTCCCACATAATGGGCTTGCTCTACTTTCTGATATTTCCTGAGCCTCGGTTTTCCTCTTTTGGAAGAGAGGGCATAATTTAACACCTACTTCTGAGGGTTGTTCTAATAATCACGTGGGATGATGAGGTGCCTGGTCCATCTGCAGGCCCCCATACACATTTCATCACCGCCGTTTACTGGGGATTCTGCTCACTCCTCCGCGGGCTTTCTAACCGGCGGGAATTCACTGCTCTGTTCTCTCTCCACCAGGAAGACGTCATCAACACTCAGTGTGGCTATGATGCCAGGCAAAAACCAGTAAGTGGAATCTCGTCTTCTCGCTTAGCACGCAGGGTGTTGGAGGAGCTTTTGAACTTGCGTGGTGACGCTGTGCTCTCCTCTCCCCTTGTGAAGGAGGTCGACCAGCAGATTGTGATCTACACGAAAGGCTGCGTGCCCCAGTTTGAGAAATGGTTGCAGGACAACTTAACCATCGTGGCCGGTGTATTCATAGGCATTGCATTGCTGCAGGTAAGACAAGGCTCCTCCCTGTATGTCACAGGGAACCAGTTCCCTGGGAGAGCCCTCTCCAGGACAGGAGCTTTGCTCAATCACCTAATGACACAGTGTTGAAGACACAATCGGAGGGGCTGGGAAGCAGACCTAAATAAGTTGGTGTGTATTTTATTAAAGCTCTGATTTTAGATGCTACTATATACTAAAATATTTTTAGGAAACCTTTCCTTTTGAAGATGGAGAAATTGATTGGGTCAGTAGTTGCCTGCTGACATTCCAGCATTTCCATGGGCTCAGTAATACTGCGTGTGACCGCTGGGCAGACAGAAATGATCAAAAGTAGGAAAGGAGTGCCTGCCTTTCCTCCTGGGCAGACCCAAGAGCTAGGGTTTTTCATCATGTGGAGATGTGGTCCTTTTCTTTGAGCACAAATGGGGCCCAGTGGTTGAAAGAAAGAAGACCAACAGATTCAGTGCAATCTCTATCAAAATTTCAACTGCCTTTTTTTTTTTTCTCCTTTCAAAAATAGATAAGTTGATCCTAAAATTCATATGGAAATGCAAGGGACCCAGAATAGCAAAACAAACTTGAAAAAGAACAAAGTTGGAGAATTCACACTTCCCAATTCCAGACTTATTTCAAAGCTCCAAGCTTACTTCAAAGCTACAGTAATCAAGATGGTGCATACTGGCTTAAGGCTGGACATATAGATTAATGGAACAGAATAGAAAGCCCAGAAATAAACCCATGCATCTATGGTCAGTTGATTTTTGACAAGAGAACCAAGACCATTCACTGGGGAAATAATAGGCTTTTCAACAAATGATGCTGGACCAACTGAATATCTATATGCAAAAGAATGAATTTGAACTCCTACCTCACACCATATACAAAAATTAACTCAAAATAGATCAAAGACCAGAATGTAAGAGCTAAAACTATAAAACTCTGAGGAGAAAGTATAGATCTAACTCTTTATTACTGAGGAGTAGGCAGTGTTTTCTTAGACATGACACTAGAAGCACAAGCAACCAAAGAAATAGTAGGTTAATTGGACTTCTTCAAAATTGAAAACTTCTGTGCTGAAAATATTACCAAGAAAATGAAATGACAGCCCACAGAATGGGAGAATATATTTGCAAATCATTATATCTGATACGGATCAAGTATCTAGAATATACAAAGAGCAACTCAGCAATTAAAAAGACAGACCCAATTTAAAGGTGAGCAAAGAATTTGAGTGGACCTGTCTCCAAAAAAGATACAAATAGCCAGTAAACACATGAAAAGATGATAATCATCATTCGTTGTTAGGGAAATTTCGAATTGCAACCACAATGGGTATCTACCACTTCACACGCATTAGGATGGATATACAGTTGACCCTCCAACAACATGGGTTTGGATTGGGGGGG